CCCGCCCCCCCCCTTGTGTGTGTGTGTGGGGGGGGGGCGCAACTTCCAACAGGAGTCATTTGGGGGGGCTCTTGGAAAAAAAGGTTGGGAACCACTGCTCTAACACATGTTCAGGTCAGGCAGCGCCCCTGTCCTAAACAGCTGGAATATTCTCCCATTGAAACACTTGTGGGGCATATGTCTTTTAAATATGGGAAGTTCAAACAGAAAAGCCTGTAACTGTAATTTGGTTGAAATCAATGACAGATTTGAAAACATCTAGTTTTACAGCTGTAGAAGCTGGCAGTGTAAACTGGCTTTAGCACCAGCAGGCCAGCGGTAATGAGAATGACTGTGTGCATAACTTCATCACCCAAAAGATCCACCCCAAGATCATTTTTAGTTTCGCTGCTGACAGGAGTGTAAGGAAAAACACATCTCATTACACTTACAGTGTAATATCACCAAAGTGCTTAAAAATAACATGTCTAAATCAAATATTTTGTATTGATCGCACTTATGTATTTCATGCCGTTAGCAGGAGATGTCTTTGTAATTCAGTGGTATTCCGGGTACTGATATAAGTAAAAAAGTGTATCAGGCGGCGCATAATACTCATATCTAGTACTCCAAAATACACATACTTGAATTCTGGTATTCTAGTATTTCTGATGTATGTATTTAAAATATAACAATATGTTATATAATATAGAATATACAATGTAAAGATATTGTTCTGTCATCATTATTGCATGTTGGAATACGTTCATATTAGCGGTTCCTTCTTAATGAATTAATATACAATACAATATGTTGTAGCTCCTTAACAGTGAGATCATTCATATTTTTGGTTTTATTCATATATTGTCATCGGTGTATTGCTGTGAAAGCACAGGCCCTGACTTACATACAGTTAGAAGAAGTAGTCTGAATGTTTTATTGTGGAGTTAAAACAATGGTTATACTGTAGGCAACCTAAATCATTGTTGGGGGCAGGATCTCCAGATTTGTCATATGATGAATTGAATAGGTCACAAGATGTGAACCAGAATTAAATAATATTATTTTGATTCTATTTTTAGACTTTTTCCCAGTATTTTTTTTGTGTGCTCCTGTGCACTTTAACCTCTCCAGGCTTCAGGCAGGAGGGAGGATTCATCTTTCAGTGAACTGTTTGCAACAGGACATTAATTACTTCAGTAGTGAAGGGTGACAAGCAAAATCAGGTCAGGAGTTAATGATCTTAAAGTCATAATACATATTATTTTTAAATTAAGTTTTGCCATTTGCTTTGACCTAAATGTCTGGGGGGGTTTTGACCTGAACATCAGGTTAACAAAAAAGCAACTTCCTTGTTTATCAGGAAACACCGGGACGTTTTTTCTGGAATCAGACGTGTTAACCCTGTTCAGAGTCAGATTAATGCTCCTTCATGTTGGACGAGTCGTGGCATGTCTGTGATGCTCACCATGTTCCTGGGGTTCGACATGAGGAAGTGCTGAGCCACATGTGCCGGCAGCAGGTTGAACAGGATCCTCTTGTTGTCCAGCTTCACCTTCTCCATGTCCCCCCTCTCCTCCTCCGCCTGGACACCATCAAACAATTGACACGTGGACAAAAGAGAGATGAGTTGTTTTAGAAGCATACAGGATGTAGTTCCAAAGTGAAACTGATGCTCTCTTGTCTAGATACAATGAACCTTTAATGTGGCTCAAAGCTCAGAGGCAGATGTAATTGCCTTTCCTTATCACTAGAGGGAGATAATGATTTGCAAACAAGACAACATTCACTGTCATTCTTAAAATAGAAACATACACCCTGTCAAGATCCACAAAAGACTGTGCAAACATGCAATTCAAACACACACTGAATTAATTGAGTATTATATATTTTTCTAAATACAACTAAACTCTTTTCCAGTGCAGTTCAGTGAGAATATTTCAACCTGTTTCGATCACAAATCATCCTTTTTGTGGGTTTTTTGTTAATTGTTTAAATAGAGATGGGTATACATCCAATTAAAAACAAACACACAAATACATTCCGCAAGAGATATGAACTAACAGAAAGTCGCATATTTTGACTTAATCAGTTATTCAATATTATATGATCTTACCCAGCGAGGAACATCGGTATACAATTAATAATTATCTACATACCAACTGTATGATCATGCCTACACCAAGGTCTAAATGAACCAACATATTTTTACTTTTTGAAGAGTCCATGTTTCAACGGTCTATAACATACTATAATAAGATTAATAACAATAATAATAAAAAGAGAGCCTAATATATACTGGATTCTTATGTAGCTAACAATATTTGTATTTAAGAGACATTTTATATTAAAAATAAATAATGACTGACATTTCTGTCAATATATTGCTGCAGTTAAATTAAGAAGAATAATACTTGATTTAGAAAATACTTAACCAGTTAATTTGCCTTGGAAACCAGCTAAAATATTCGAATTAGCATAAAATATATATAACTTTTTGTATATGCATATTTTAACATTTTATTTTGCACTTTATATTTTGTGAGTGTTGTTTTTTTTAAATTATTTTGTATGATTTGTAGCTTTACATTCCATGAGACATATCTCAATATTGACAAACCACAAGCAATTCTACTTCAGATATCTAACCCTACAAAAGAGGATTATATTTGTCCGTAAACACAATTTGGGTTTGAGTGTCTTGCTGAGACATTGAGCTGTAGCAGCAGAGCTAAGGATATACAAACTAATGCTAAATAACCAGCCAATCTGAGCCAGAAAAACCTTGTTGGAAGTTCTTCATAAGGAATAACTCCTCATAGATGCATCAAACATAACTTGATGAGAAGACTTATTTTGCAGTGCACAAGAGCCCAGTGTGTGCACAGACAAAGCTGTATGCAAGTATGAGCTGTAACAGGTGTGCTCCCTGTGCAAACTGACGTACCTGAGTAGCCCAGAGATAGTCGAGCCGCAGCTTCAGGTCCAGCTGTCTTGAATGAAGAGCCAGAGCACCAAAAAACAGCAAGGCAGCCAACACAGGATCGTACCCCCGTGTGTGGAGAAAACCTCCTCTGAAACACACACACATAAAATTAGTTTTCTTTTTCTTAGGGAAATAAAAAAAGAAATTAAGAAAAAATACAAAATTGGACAATTGGAAAAAAACTCTACACATGCAGTTCGTGTCTAACCCCACAGCTTGTCGATAGCCGCTGGTCTCCATGACGACGGTGTAGGTGACAGAGAGCAGGAGGAGCAGGATAATCTTGGGGAGCGAGGACACCCGGAGGTAAGGGACAAGAGTGAGGGTGCCGGCCACACAGGACAGCAGGCCGTAAGACATGTTGGAGCAGGCTCTGTCCGCCTCGGTGCTGTTGGTGTCCGCGAGGACCTCCTCCACTGTGAGGCTGAAGTTTGACACCACTCTGCTCCAAGGAACACAGACCACCTGGAGGAAGGGAAAGAAGAAGGTGGTGGGTTATTGGTGTCACAAACCATATGTCACTTTTGGGTTGAGTTTCAAAATGGTATATACATAACTGATTTTGCAATAAACAAAGAAAGCTACAATTTTAAAATGGATAAAGTAGTTTGAAGGTAGAGTTAGTCTGCAATAGCACAAGGCTGTTCAATTAGCGATTGGAGTTTAAAAAAAGAAAATAAACCCTTTTCTGCTGCACTATTACAATCATTACTAAAACTCATGGAAGTCAATGTTAGCTTCAACAAGATAATTTAAACCAAAATAGTGTCTAATTGTACCTAAACATAGCATTGTCATTGTTCTTTCAATATTATGGTCCCCATTAGCACTGGTTGCAACACAGTCTCACGGCATTTCGTGTTATAGTCACAAAATGAATCTATTGATTCGTGTTCACCAACACAATTTCACCATTTATTTCGTGTCACACAGAACGATTTTAAAAGCAATGTAAATAATAACAAATTAGAGAACGATTTTAGAAGTAATGTATTTCTATTGGTAGTAGGCTATGTTTCGTGCCTGCCCCAAATAATAACAAATTAGAAGGAAAAAAAGATGACTAAAAATACAGATTTCAGTATTCTGAGGCTCTGAGCCCCATTTATTTTCCTCGCGGACGGCAAAAAAACTCCAACATTATACAA